ACGCATCCTCTTCATCAAAACAAATCAGAAGAAGCCTCAAAAGAAGCAGAACGAAGAATTGATGACGACTTTGGAAATCTGACAAAGGTACTTCAGTTGTATGTTGAGGACCACAAGGTCTTGCCTTACTGTATGATCTTGCATAGCTTGGCTTACAGGTATTTAGGTGGAGGCCTACTAGACCCAACTTACAAGGATGAAGAATTCCCTTACAGATCATCTCCACAAATTACAATGATGTTTTGGAATTTGGGAAACTGGTGCAGAAACAGATTTGAAAAATGCCCTGTTCCAGAAAGATTCCAACAATTCATTCCACACATCGACTATGCTATTGATGAAGAACATGAAAAGTTTGATGGGAACAAGACACAGTTCAACAATTACTTCATCAACGTCATCAAGAACTTTGGAGGACATCTTTTCATGAATTGTGAAGCTGGTTCACTATATCCTCACAGAGAAAGACTCGAAGAGGTGCAGTTTAAAACTTGCTTCAATGACTATCATGACTTGATGGTGGCAGCTCGCATAGGAAAGGACGGCGATATCAGGCAAATTGCTGGATATCACACAGATGACAATGACACACGAGTTCGACAAGTCTCTTGGGCAATCTTTGAAGTATCTTGGGGAAAGACAAAGGACCGTGATACAGATGAGATTGTGGACTTGACACGAGCCAGGATGAAGATGACACGTGTGTGCGTTTATCACGTTGGACAAAAGTATGCATCAGACTCTCCTGGTATTGTTGGTGAGTGTTTAGCTGTTATGGCTTTTGAGCGTGCTAGATATCAAGTTGACGTCATCGCAGGTGATGGAAACAAGGCATGCTATTACACCACACCAAAATCTCCAGGTGTCCCTACATATCAACACAGCCTGATCCAATTCTGGCTTAACAGGATGATGGGTGCTGCAACACAAGCCCTACGCAAGCATTTTGATCCAACATACCCTCCAGTCAGGGTAAAACATTTCATTTCTTGCAGTTATCGGGATCTTGATTCTCTTGCAACGCACTTGGATGGCATTACAACAGCTCTATACACCGACGAGCTCGTGACCAAGACATCAAACAAAGGTGATTGTTGTATGCTTTCAGTTGTTGAGTGGGGTCATTCACGTCTGATGTGTCAGGAATACCCTGAAGACTATGAAGATGAAGATCACATGAACTATGTGGGTGAATTTTACTTCAAGGTAAATGAAACTTGCTTACATGGTGATCACAATATCTTTATGGTTGCTCCAAACGATCGTGATGCCCATAATCCAATTCTTGTGCATTTGGATCCTTCTGATATGTCGTGGAATGAGCGACATCATTACAAACATGCTAACCAGAAGATGAAGTATGCTCAAAACAGGAAGGAAAGACAGAAGGAGAAAAAGAGAAAAGCATATGAAGATCAGGCATCAACGTATCAGGGCAACATGAGTTGGGGTGGATCCTCATCTTCTTCGTCCAGACCATGGAGACAAAGCGATTGGCGATGAGTGAGTGTATACTTCTTTAACTGAAGATAACACAGCATGAGAGACCTTGTACAGTTTTTCTGTGCATCAACTTATTTTCACAAAATGGCATATACTCTTTGAGATAGAGAAAATGCCACAAATGTCTGAACTTCAATTTAATGTAAAATAGATACTCTTGTACATAGAGATACTATACACATTTATCTCCACGAAACTTTCTGCGAGCAAACCACTCCGAATGGAGCGAACTCCAAAAATTACCAACTTCGATTTCTGTCCATTGTTCGCTTGAATGAGCAACTTTGGAGATCCGCTATTTCCGTTTATTTCGTGATTTGGTCAATTGCTTTTCGTATGACCGGAATTTCTGAATCTTGCGGACCGAACTTTTCAATTCGAACTTTCACCGGTAGAGCGAGGCATTTTGCCTATGGAGAGACCGTGCGCGAAGCACCATTGGTCGCTACTGGAAAAATTAGCGAATCCGCTGTTCTTTTTCGGCATGTCCTTAGGACATTCGCTGCTTTCACGTGTTTTTCAATTCGAAGCCACTGCGTAACTCCGGTTTATTTTTGCTATTTGCCATTGTGTAGAGAAGACAGGAAGATACTCTTATTACCGATTGAGTACGACAAGGCGTAGTGCTCTACTCATTGCTTTTGAATTTGTGCCTGTGTTTTTGTTTCGACCTAATACCTACAGAGGTACATGCATGAGTATTGAGCACAGTATATGCGCCCTTCAAGGCTCAAGAGGTATACTAGAGTAACCCTGTAGACATAGCACTGACCGGCAACAGGCTGAGTAAAAGAGTGCTGTCATTGGAGAAGACGCCTTAGCTGATCTTGAAGTAGACGCTAGGGCCCCTCTTCACCCCCCCCTCCCCCCCTGCCACCACCACCACCATCACCACCACCATCATCATCATCATCGTCATCATCATCGTCATCATCATCGTCATCGTCATCGTCATCGTCATCATCAACCATCATCATCATCATCATCATTATCATCATCATCATCATCATCATCATCATCAATCATCATTCATCATTCATCATTCATCATTCATCATTCATCATCATCAACATCATCATCATCATCATTATCGTTATTCAATTACATTTTATCATTATTGGCAATTATTGGCATTATCACGAAAGCTAGCGTCAGCTCGCTAGAGTCTTCTTGCTTTAGCAAGTATCCCGGGGCTCCCCAAGGACATCACGTGATTTTTCACGCGAAAGGGCCCCTCCCTGCCCCCTCCCCCATATATATCATTGTTATATATCATATATCATATATCATTGTTGCATCCTCGTTGGGACGAACAATGCCGCGACACGATGATGACAGTCCCTCCGCAAACCTCTTCCCTTCCTTCTTTCTCCTACCCCGCTAGCTTTCGTCATCCACCCCCGGCCTCAAGTGTGTGTGTGTGTGTGCACGTGGACGTGCATGGAATGCTCATGCGCATAGCGCATCCGCCATCAAGTTTGACTACAGGCCGCACTGCGTGGAGCACAAAACATGGCAACGGGCACAGAGCGTAGATGGCATGAGCTCGTGTATAACAACTTTCCTAATGCCCATGATACACATCCATACATTGTCAATATGCATCATAGGCAAATAGACTTGCTGACACTGCCCGCGATCAGCCCTTCTTTGGGAACCCTGACGTTCTCTGGATCGAGAACGGGATGACCAAAGATGTTTCTATAGCCTGACGCGCGGCAAGGGGGTGATACGAAACAAAAATGACTCGAAATTATTTCAGGTTGGATAATAATGAGGTCTGGTGATTGCTTCTGGTCAAACAAGCATCACAAACAACCTGTAGAAACGAGGGCATGAAACAACTCTGACGCAGATGAAAAAGGGTTCATTTTCCCTGTGACAGACAACCTTACTTTCAGAAAGGATTGGCTGCTGTTGAAGAATGATGCGGTTTACAGCTCAAATAGAAAACAAACCGATTGATCAAAGCTAATCACGCCGTGGAAGTGTTTACCAAGGTAACAGCTTGTCATGCCAAGGTAAACCATTCCAGTCCAAACCAAGATATGTCACTAGTCAATATGATATTGTGAAACTGAATATATAGTTTCTTGGTGGCTCTCAAATGAGTGATGTTGTCTTGAGGGACGGACGGGAAGCAGTGCGAGACAATGTCTCTGCACTGCAGGATCAGCGGGCCTAAAAGCTCTGCATGCCTTAACCCTTCCAGGTCAGTAACGAGCAGAACTAACTCCTTGTGGGTCTGTATTTCCTCTTTGCAATCACGAACGGGATGTTCCAAGAAGGGTGCAACCGTTTTCCATCGAAATGAAAGTAACTACAGTGAAACCAACTGCTTTGAAAACCCAAGTGTCACATATGAGGGCCCATGCAATCTGCGGATCCCCACAGTATGTTCCAAGGAGGTTCCAGCCTCAGACACGGAAGCGGCTCCAAATAAAAGACATCTTGAAGCATTCTGGTGACATTGGACTGCAGAGTAAATGTTTCTTGCTTTCCTACACTCGCAGTTCTGCCAGCAGAGCAACAGCATCGCTGGTTATGTCGCAACAAAGCAGGTTATTTTTTGTTGGGGTGACATCCCAATGTACAACATTGAAACATTGAAAAGTGTGTTCAATGCAGGTGTGCAAGATAACCTGTGAAGTTCAAGACTTTGTGATGCATCTACAAAATTCATGCCCCAAATGCCAAAGTCAGCTACAAAATGCACGCCCCAAAGCTGCTCCATCTAGAAGCCCTGACATTTGATAGATGACGACCATGATGATCGAAGGTGGTTCTGGCCTTACATCCGCAAACGGTGCGAAGAGCCACAAAAATGAATACTATAGATGAATCCTGATTTAGTTTCTCCTCAGTTAGCATGGAAGTGTTTGGCACTAGCCAACTTCTTCTGGTCCCTGAAATTAGGCCACTTTACAGGATTCCAAGCCAGCACCAGTTGGGAGCCCTAACGTTCCACGCATCAGTTGCAAGATGATAGAACGAGGTACTGGCCTCCAAAGCCGCAGCAGTCTGGGAATGAATATCTCCACCAATATGTGGACATGTCAGATCAAACATATCGACCAACATCATGTAAACACCTTGAACCTTCTAATCAAGTTTGCCATGGTAAAGTACAGATTGTATTCGTCATCATCAGTTTTTGAAACCGCCAAACCTGTAGCGACTGAGTGTCAAAACCATCCACTGAAGAAATGCCTGGCCGCAGGCGAGCATAGGCATGTGGCAACATGAAATAGCTGCAGCCAGCGAGGACCCTCTGCTAGCACAAGGTTGCGAGAGAATGACCTCTGCACCTATACAGCGGCAATTCCACTATATAGTAGGCTTCAATAAACATTGCTTGCAACATGTCGACATATGTTGACAAACGTGCTCCAAGCACGACAGGATCTCCAAGTTTTGTTTTGACTGCGCAGGTCAAGCTCGTTTCCAAAAAATACAACCAGCCCTCATATAGCCGGGGTACCGGCACATCAGCCCACCTAATCACCCTCAGCTTCAGATACAGTGTTCTCAGCAACTTCGCATTCCTCATTCACTGCCTGACGTGCCTTCTTAGCCTTCTTCTTGGGGGATCGTTTCGGCTGAAATCGTCTCCTCTTCTTTTCGGGAGATTTGGGAACATGTTCAGCCTCCTCACCAGCAGCTTCAGATGCAGGGACAGAGTCAGTTTGCCCATCGGCGGGCAAAGCAGCTGCAGCTGTAGACTGATCTGCATCTGCAGGCATCTTCATGGCAATGGACAAGTAGTTCAACACATCGGTTTTCAGCTCCAACCACAGGTCAGCTGCTTTGTTGCCCCACCGGCATTTTACCTCGAAAACCAGAATGCACATATAAGTTATAACACGAGTTCCATGGCCAAGGTCTAAAACAAATGCTGCATTCTATAAACTATAAGCTATAAATTGTTCTTGACAAGGTAATCCATTGTTGTCTAAACTGTTCTTGAAACCTGTCCAACTGATTTGTTTTGAAAGGGCCCTTGGCCTCCAAAGAGCCAACACACTCGGCATCTTTTTGCAGCACTGGCAGGGCGATCGTGATGTACTGTGCCACGATGAGGCTGTGATCATCCTTCGCCATCATGGAGGTTTTGGTGGGCTTCCACTCCTGCCCTATAGCCTCTGCTGCTAGCCGCATGGTCTCCTGATATCGACGATTGCACTCAGCATTCCTCAGATGGACAATGCGATCGTATTCTTTTCCATCGAGAAGATGAGGGCTTTTGGTCGCCCTTAGTTCTAGGCCTTTGCCTGTGAGGGCGATGACACCTCTGTCATACAATAAGGAAACCAATCTTTCTTGCTGTGGGGTGTCTCCACAGCAACAACGCGCTTGATTGCCCACTCCCTCTCCATGGAGCACTCTCTGCACTATGCGAAAAAAATGATGGAAAGTTGATTCTTTCGAGTCCTGGGACATTGAGCCATGTATACAGTAAGAACTGTACAAAGCAAGTCACTGAAGACACATGCTGGGCGTTCATGTTCAGAATAAATGTGCCGCCCTGTCCCCTGCACTATACTTCAACAAAATATTTGATTCTTAGATATTCTTAGTGAAACCCATCCAATCATCCTGACAAAATGACGACTACATTGCATCCAAATTGAATCGAGCCTGTGCTCTGCAGCACTGCGCACATAGCGCAAACTTTTTCCATAGCCGAGTTGCAATCTCTATATGCAATTTATGTGCAGCCCAAACTTTTATAGGGTGCCACACCGCATGGTGCTTTTCAGCGAACAGCCACCCCTCATTGAAATCCTGATCCAACAATTGTATCCACCCAAATTTTCATGATCTTAGCATCAAATATATAAAAACAGTTTTGGCCCTTCTTTGTTTTTCGTCTCTTAACGTCAACCAATGCTTCAATCTGCGCAGGCGCCTTTACGGGCTCATCCCTGTACAAGACCAATGATGTCCCTGCCTTCAAATCACAGCTATTCACCAACAAGGGAAGTTTCATGGAACCATTGAGGGTCACAACCTGGTCATCCAGATCCTCTTGCATCTCCATGTTGTAGGTTTCAAGATCGTGGGTCACCTTCATGAACCAACACGGACTGATGAATGCGTCAGTCGTGCATGGGTGCATGTAGAGTTTGAGGTCTGTTCCGTCCTGCATGTATTGCAGGTTCAGTTAAAGTACCCCCCAAAGAAATCACTTAGGCATTGCGACGTTCTGATGAATAAAATTGCATATGGTGGCCATGACGCCCAAACATCAACTATAAGTGTCCTGGTTCGCTTTGCCAATGCAAATGGCAGCGCTATTCACCTTGTCATCCGAACGAACTTCAAGTTTCAATGTGCTTACCGGAATCTTCAAGTTGCCAGCTTTGACATCACGGGTGACGATAACATCTTTCGGTTTCGAGAAGATGTCCAGAGGCAATTTCTCAACCTTAGGCGTCTTCTGGTAGAGGTGCTGCATGATCTTGCCTTTCAAAGCTGAGATGAACAATTCTGAACTGTGTTCAGGAGCAAGCTTGCCCCACTCATCCATTTTCTCTGCTGGTGCCTTGACCGCCACATGCTTCCACTCGTTCTGAAGGAATGACGCTGCAGAAGCCTGCTTTTCAACGCCAGCAACCATGAGGATCACGCTATCGGCCGCCATTGATTTGATGGTCTCTGTGACCTCCTCCGACTTGCGCTTCACCTGCATGCCCACTACGAATCCTTTCTCCTTCAACATGGACGTATCTGCAACTTGCCCACTGGTGGTCAAAGACCGCAACCTCGATATTGCGGTGCCAAGATTCATCAAACGAGTGATGTTGGCAATTCTGCACACCGCTTGGCTCAATCAGATACAAATCAAAAACTTTGCCACTCAACAAGAGGAACAACAAAAAAACAACTGCTTTATGCGTTGCAAACAAACTCTGTTTTTTTCTCGGACTTGGCAGCCTTCGCAGAGATCCCTGCAGAGGTGGAGGGTGCCATGCTCCATGGACATGTGATGTTGGCGTTGCCGCTGAATTCACGCAGGAGATCAATGAATTTCACGCCCTGCTTCCTCCATGTTCTCAAACTTGGGCCATGCTTCTTCTCTAACGCACACAGCGTCAGATGACACGACAGCACGCCCAGCGCGTGCAGCTGCACATCGGGTGCCACCTGGTTGATGCTGCAAATCTTCTCAGCTTCGCCTACAAACCGCTCAACCTTCTCCATCTTTTTTGCCAAGGAAGATGACATCAGTTTGCGCACATCCGTCATTGCCAGGGTCTTCTCTGGAACAAAGTACAGACACTTCAAGACACCTTGGAATGGGATTGGAAGAACCATTCAACATTTCCTGTTTAACCCCGTCAAAACACACGTCCCTCAGGTACAAAAAGAAATTACCAATGGTGTTCAGGAACAATGTCTGCACACCCCGTGTTGATGTTTGTCACCCTTCACATCTTGGGAAAGAATCTCATAGATCTCACCGCCCACTGTTCTGCGACTGTGGCCAGGGGCTCTGCAGAAGGCCTCACTGGACTCCAATAGGTGGCCTGCAAGACCACCTGAGAACTTCACCACAAATTGGAAGAGCTGTGGACACTGCAGTGCCAGTGTAGGCTTGGAGGGCAAGACTTGCGGAGAGACATCCTTCCAGGTCAATGTTTCCTTTCCAGAAGCCTTCAGCTGGGCGCATGCCAGGTGGATCTTGCGTAGCAGCTGCAACTCGCTCTCTGGGCGACTCAAATGGCTGCTCACATTCATGCTGCTCTGCAGCAGGTTGGGAAAATCAGGAAACTCTTTCCCAACGTCTCTGGCAAAAATCAGCCATGGCAGGCCCTCTGTGCAGGCTGCATGATAGGCCTTGTCCATCTCTGCCAATTTTGCCATTGACAGTTTCCCATCTTGGCCTGTGCATGCTGGGTTGCCGTGCATGACACCATGGATCCAGCAATTCAACCCAGCATTGAGGTGAGAGCCCGCCACGCTCGCATACCTGATCAACTCGGTGTTGAGACTTGCTAGCTTCCCTGCACTTTCCTTCTGCAGCCTGCGGTTGAAGTCCACAACCCCTGTCTCGGATGGATCCGTTTCCATACAAATGCAGCGAACTTCCTCTGGACTGAATCCTACTTGCACGATGTCGGTGATGAGGCCATGAACTTCTGATGTGGAGATGCCAAGTCCGTCTCTGTTGCGAGGATGGCAGCCTACCTGGTGAGGCAGAAGCTTCTGCGACCAGGCCAAACCACTCTTCTTGAGAAGGGTGAGGATCTTGTCAATCATGCTCACCAGCTTCTCCCCGTGTTTCGCTTTCTCCATCAGCGCCATGATCTCTGCCCTCACCTCTGCTGAGATCGCCAGGGCAGGAACTTTCATTTGTTATACCTTCAAATCTGAGCCAATTTTCTGCAGTCGGCAGATGCGAGTTTATACTCTGCATCTAGAGATGCGATCAAAGACCTGCATCCCTCAACAGCAATTTGATTGCGCGACCTTTCTGACACATGGATTATCGCCACTGAAGGTATGTATGACCAAGTCAAACCTCTTAAGATATTTGACCAAATCAATTTTCCAAAAGCACCCCTTGTCAGAAGGCGCCTGCCCAGGCCAACGCATGCCCACCATCGACGATCTGGGCGGACCAACATCCAAGAAAATGATGATTCAAAGGGAAAATCTTTGCAAATTTTAAGATAAACAAAAAAGGTTCCACCAAACCATATTTGTTTCGTTCTCTGTTTTTTTGGGTTCCGCTCTGCTCAGCATGTTGTACTTTGCAAGATGCATGGGTTGAAAGATATCTGAGCCAAGGTGGCTTAGTTTTAAAACATGATTGAAATCATTGTTTTCGCACCAGGACACACACCCAAAAATAAACGTAACAGATTTTAAAAAAAAAAAAACGTAGGTGTGTTCCACGGCCTCTGTTCTTTCACCCGCTGGGCTGCAGCTCAAACCCAAATTGGCATGTGAAAAAACAAAACATCCTACACCGAAATTGAAAAACATCATGCACCCAAATGATAAAAATAGAATTCAACCCCGGTCCAAACACAAAATCGCTCCGTGTGAATTCTAAAATTAAAGGACCGGATAACCCCACAAGGCAACTTCTTCCAATAATGAGCACCAAATGTTGTAGCTGGGACGGGGAAGGAAGGAAAGACAAAGGAGGTGGTGGAGGATCGAGAAGAAAAACAAAGTTGTGTGTGACAAGGTTGTATGTGAAAAGATGGTGTGTGACAAAGAAAGATGGTGTGTGTGACAAAGTTGTGTGTGAAAGATTGTGTGTGTGTGAAAGTTGTGTGTGAAAGAAAGCGTGTGACAAAGTTGTGTGTGAAAGATGGTGTGTGAAAGATGGTGTGGCGAAAGATGGTGTGTGACAAAGTTGTGTGTGAAAGCTGGTGTGGTGAAAGATGGTGTGTGACAAAGTTGCCTGTGAAAGATGGTGTGGTGAAAGATGGTGTGTGACAAAGATGGTGTGTCAGAGATGGTGCGTGACAAAGTGGTGTGTGAAAGATGGTGTGAAAGATGGTGTGTCAAAGATGGTGGGTGACAACGTGGTGTGAAAGATGGTGTGTGACAAAGTTGGGTGTGAAAGATGGTGTGTGAAAGAGGGTGTGTGACAAAGTGGTGTGTGAAAGATGGTGTGTGACAAAGTGGTGTGTCAAAGAGGGTGTGTGGCAAAGTTGTGTGTGAAAGATGATGTGTGAAAGATGGTGGGTGACAAAGTGGTGTGTGAAAGATGGTGTGTCAAAGATGGTGGGTGACAACGTGGTGTGAAAGATGATGTGTGACAAGGTTGGGTGTGAAAGATGGTGTGTGAAAGGTGGTGTGTGAAAGATGGTGAGTGAGTTGGTGTGAGAAAGATGGTATATGACAAAGTTGCCGCGCGTTCCACGCCAAACGCAAGTAAATGTCTCCAAGTGCCACACCTGCCGCGCAAAACGAAGGTGGATGTCACCAAGTGCCACGCCTGCCACGCAAAGTGGCGCGGCGCCCCTGGCGACAAATCCGGACCAAGCGCGCCACACAGTACCATGAGTGCCACGCCTGCCACGCAAAACAACGGTGGATGTGAGTTTGTGCCACGCCTGCCACGTGAAACGAAGGTGGATGTCACCAAGTGCCACGCCTGCCACGCAAAGTGGCACGGCGTCCCTGGCGACAAATCCGGACCAAGCGCGCCACACAGTACCATGAGTGCCACGCCTGCCACGCAAAACGACGGTGGATGTGAGTTAGTGCCACGCCTGCCACGTGAAACGAAGGTGAATGTCACCAAGTGCCACGCCTGCCACGCAAAGTGGCACGGCGCCCCTGGCGACAAATCCGGACCAAGCGCGCCACACAGCACCATGAGTGCCACGCCTGCCACGCAAAACGACGGTGGATGTGAGTTTGTGCCACGCCTGCCACGTGAAACGAAGGTGGATGTCACCAAGTGCCACGCCTGCCACGCAAAGTGGCACGGCGCCCCTGGCGACAAATCCGGACCAAGCGCGCCACACAGTACCATGAGTGCCACGCCTGCCACACAAAACGACGGTGGATGTGAGTTTGTGCCACGCCTGCCACATGAACCAAGGTGAATGTCACCAGTGCCACGCCTGCCACGCAAAAGTGCCACACAGCATGAGTGCCACGCCTGCCACGCAAAACGACTGCCACGCCTGCCACACGAATCCGGACCAAGCGCGCCACACAGTACCATGAGTGCCACGCCTGCCACGCAAAACGACGGTGGATGTGAGTTTGTGCCACGCCGGCCACGTGATATCAAGGTGAATGTCACCAAGTGCCACGCCTGCCACGCAAAGTGGCGCGGCGCCCGTGGTGACAAATCCGGACCAAGCGCGCCACACAGTACCATGAGTGCCACGCCTGCCACGCAAAACGACGGTGGATGTGAGTTTGTGCCACGCCTGCCACGTGAAACGAATCCGGACCAAGCGCGCCACACAGTACCATGAGTGCCACGCCTGCCACGCAAAACGACGGCACATGTGAGTGTGTGTGTGTGTGCGTGTGCGTGTGTGTGTGTGTTTGTGTGTTGTGTGTGTGTTTTGTTGTGTGTGTGTGTTTGTGTGTTGTGTGTGTGTTTTGTTGTGTGTGTGTGGTGTGCGTTGTGTTGTTGTGTGTTGTTGTGTGGTGTGTTGTTGTGTGTTTGTGTGTGTTTGTGTGTGTGTTGTTGTGTGTGTGTTGTTGTGTGTTTGTGTGTGTTGTTGTGTGTTTGTGTGTGTTGTTGTGTGTTTGTGTGTTTGTGTGTTGTTGTGTGTGTGTGTTTGTGTGTGTGTGTTGTTGTGTGTTTTGTTGTGTTGTGTGTGTGTTGTTGTGACGGAGGCGGCCGGAGGAGGAGGAGGAGGAGAAGGAGAAGCCCGGGATACAGAATCAAAAACAAGAACCCCACACAAAGATGTGGGGAAAAACAACCTGCACCAACCCCCCCCCCAAAAAAAAAACATGGTAATTTTCCTATGTTCTGGGATCCCCAAATCAGACTTAGCAGACTTAGCAAAAAATTACTAAGTTGTACTTAGGTGAGTTATGTAAACTTGCTAAGTGGGACTTAGACAAGTTATGTAAACCCCTTAAACCCATTTGTATGCAACTTACTGTAACTCGTCTAAATTATGGATATTATGGATTCCACTTAGGCTAGCTCTGCTATATCGACACATAAAGTTAGCTAATCGAACTATCTACTTATGCGATATAGTAAACTTTAGTAACATATTCTAAAAGTTAGTATTCTAAAAGTTAGTATCTAGATATATTTTTTATGCCACTTAAACGATATATAAGTCTCATAAGTTTAACTTAAAACACTTATAACTATACTTAGCAGACTTATGTAACTCATATATATATATAAAGCAACCAAATATGTACTAAACCCCATGAACATCCAAGTGGGGAATGTCTGTCACATTGCCCTCTACCAGGCGATGCTCGAAGCTTGTGGCTCTGCTGACCAGCTCCTGGCTTCTGGGCCCTATTGCCCCGTCTGGTCGCTGGCCAGCCTACGACGAGAAGGCTCAGAAGGAGATTCCCGTTCAAGATGCGCTCACCTGGGGAGCCATTTGATCATACAAAACGCGCACATACCGCTCTCGTCCACGAAAAAAATTGTTCACGGCCATACGCTGTTTTCACGGCCATTCGCATTGCCGTCTACAATTTCACGTTTTTCACGGTTTTCCACGGCCACTCAACGTTTTTCCACGGCCAAATGCACACTTTTTCTCGGCCAAATCTTGTTTTCACGGCCATATCTTGATTCCAAGGCCAAACCGTTTTTTCGAAGCCATTTGGCCACACGGCCTTTGGCCTCCTTTTTCGCGATCAAACGGCCCCCCAGGCACGGGCCTGGGCAAATCGTTCCAGTCACGGACAATCTGCGAAAGATTTGGGAAGCCTCGATCGAGGATGTGCAAGAAGGATCGTGCATTGGCCCTTTTGTGTCTGAAGAGGACATCTCTCAATGTCTGGAATGTGATGACTGGACCCCTATACCCAGAGGTTTGAAGTGGTTCAGAAGAACAAAGTCAGAGGCTGCGATAGCGCTACAACACGGAGAAGCTCCAGCTCCCGTCCACGGACTCGAATGTCGCCGCACTCCGGAGACTGAGGCTGATCAAGCCGGAAGAAGAGCTGGCTGGTTGGATGCTCGATGAGAGGAAGGCCTATCGGCAAGCCGCTGTGAAGCCTGAACACAGGAAATTCTCGGTGATCTGCCTCAAGAATCCTCACATGCACTGGTGCTCCCAACTTTTTCGTCATGATGGGTCACTCGTTTGGTTTGGTCTCTGCTGTGTATATAGCTACCACAGACGATCGGCCGCAATCAATGAGTTCCTGGTTTCGATCTTTGGTTTGGGTGCATTCAGCTTCTACGACGACAAGTATGTCTTTGAGCCGAGATCATCAGTCGAAAGCGTTCGCTTTATTGCTGAGTGTGTTCACACGTGGTTGGGCGCGAAGTTCGACCAGAAGAAGCTCCAACTGTCGTCCGCTCCGACAATCTTATAGGCGGCGTGACGTACAACCTGGACGAGATGCAGCTCAAGATCAAGCCCGAGCGGAAGATGGAGATCGTGCAGGAGATCGACTCAATACTTGGCTCTGGTCTGCTCGACCCCGGCACTGCTGGCAAACTTAAAGGCATGCGGCAAACTGATGTTCGGCGCGTCGCAGCTCTGGGGCAAAGTGGGCAGAGCCTTCTTGAGAGTGATGTCTGAACGCCAGTACCTCCGGTTGCCGATCGGCCACGAGTTCAAGCTTGGTGGTGCTTTCATCAAGGCCTTGAACCACTGGAAGAAGCTAGTGAACGAAGCACCTCCGAGGCCTATTGATCAAGTCTCCGACAAAGT